CGCTCCAACTGTCGCCGGAGGTGTTCCAGTACCGGAGCGGACGCCCGGGCCTGCTCCTGTGCCTCGATGTGCCAAGTGCCACAAGGCGTGCGGTGCACGGAATGAAAGGCTGGAAACCACAGCGCAGCCCTGCCAGAGACCCCGTGGAGTCCCCGGGACATTCGCTGTCTGCATTGGCTGTAGTCACCTAGACCCATCGCGGTTCTTTCTGTGGCGCTCTGACTGGGGATTCGGTTGCAAGTTGGAGCTTTTTAAGGCAGATGGGGCGGGGGCGGGGGCAATTAGAGGAACAGGCAGGACCCTGGCCTTGGACACTGTTACTTCCCGGCCACTCAGGGCGCTGCTCTGTTCCTTGTCCATCTCCTCTGTCTTCTCTACCTCATAGCAACAAGGGAAGAAGGCCTTGTGACTAGAAGTTCCGACTGGATCGTTTGTAAATTTTTTTTCCAGCTCCTTAGAGCTCGGTCTTTGAGAATGCGCGAGGACTGAAACAGTCAACCCGTGCACGTGGAAACCAAGGAACAAGCTAAAGGTTTGCACGGCAAAGGATATTTGACAAAAAGTCTTCCCAGTTGCCTTATTTCTTAGTACTTTTAAAATAATTTCTGACTTTCTACACTTTGAACCCTGTGCCAGGTATGTTAGAAAGTCTAGATGCCCCTCTGATCCCTTACCCTCAAGAACTGCCCACAGCCCAGGGGGAAAGTTCGACCCCGTTTGCACGTTAGAATAGTCTTTCCAATCATCTATGATATCAGTAGCCCGGAGTTCTGAAACTGGATGCTTTGCTTTGTCCTCGGCGACTTCTTGCCATGTCCACTATATGAAAGCGTTAAAATGAAAGTTCTAAAAACCTCCCTTGATCCAAAGTGTACAATGGTATTATTCCCAGCCCAGTGCAATCATGAACTGATAATAATTATCTGTCATATAAGGCATTTTTTATTGCCTCTTTTGGAGCTAATTGAGCGTTTCTTTACAGGAATGAACATTCAAAAAGACTCTGTGATCATAGGCAACTGTTGCAAGAAGAAACAACAGTGACAGACAGTCACACAGGACTCTCCCCAGTGAGCTAATGATTCCTCCGCGAAAGATACGTCCATTGCCTGAAGTGTCAACTGGAGGTGTAAAAGATAACAAGAACTCTATTACATGCCTTATATTATATATTATTATAGTGCTTCTATATGCCAGGCCCTCCACGTATTAACCAGTCCATATAATCTTTACTCTGCCCTGGGAAATGGATACTAAGAGTTTCCATATTTTCCAAATGAGGAATGTGAGGCACCAAGTTCACAGGCATTCCCACCAAAAAGTCAGTCACAAACCCAAGTGAGCTGCAGGGAATTCATCCGGAGGAAGTCGTGCGTGTGCACTAAAATCCCTGAGGCAGACCCCCCTTCCGAAGAGAGACAGAGTACTGCACCCAGCAAGCGCACAGGTTCTCTGAGCTCAGTGTGTTCCGCTCTCCTGCAATGGCCTCAGTCTTCAGGGAGAAGGGACACAGGTTACCCAGTCTCTGCAGACAATCACCAAGGTCAGTCCCTGAGAGCTGATAACTTAAGGACAGCAATTGCTTCTGGTTGGGTAAGAGATACTAGATAATGTGGAGATGGAGTCTATTGGTAGAAAGAGAAACCTAGGGGCTAGGTAGATGGGCTTGGCGTGGAAGTGCTTATCATGCGTAAAGGAGGACCTAAGTTTGTAGCCCCAGAACACAGGTAAAATATCCAGGCAGTGGTACCTTTAATCTCAGCACTGAGGAGGCGGAGGCGGAGAGACTGGTGGAGCTTGCTGGCCAGTCGCTCTTTCTGAATCAATGCTCTCCAGCTTATTGAGACCATTTCTCGAGAATGAAGCTAGCGCACATAGAGCTCAGGCTTCATGTGCACACAGAATACACAGAGAGAGACAGAGAGACAGAGAGAAATAAGGGGAGCTACATGGTTAATACTCAGAGACAGATATTGGGGTTCAACCTGAAGGCCAGAAAAGCAAAGCAGCCAACCACTGGCTCTTACCTCGACCTCAGTCCGAAATGGCGGTCCTGCCTCCAAGAATCTCAGAATGAGACTGTGTCTGAGAGCTGTCTCCTCCCATTCTATAATCCTCTCGAGGGCTGGGATTAAAGGCATAAACTGTCTATAACGTTTTCTATAACAACTAGTGTGGCTACGGTAATTAAAAGTGTGTTACCACTGCCTGGTGTGTAAGTCTGACCAGTGGAGTTGTTTTAGTCTTTTCTTCAGTCAAACTTTATTTATTAAAATTCAAGTGAAATATCACTGAGAGAGGCAGGGAGGAGGAGAGAAGAAGCCAGGCATCCATAGAGTCTACCCCTTACCAGTCGTAAATGATAAGATTAATATTTTGTGGGCAGGGAGCAGGTTCTTTGTTTTTGCTGTTGTTCTTGGTTTTTGTTTTCTTTTTGTTTTTTTTTTTGGTGATTTGTTGTTGGAGTTTGAAAACCAGCCCTACTGGAGAGATGGCTTAGTGGTTAAGAGCATTGCCTGCTCTTCCAAAGGTCCTGAGTTCAATTCCCAGCAACCATATGGTGGCTCACAACCATCTGTAGTGAGATCTGGTGCCCTCTCTGGCCTGCAGGCACACATGTAGGCAGATATTGTATGCATAATAAATGAATAAATATTTAAAAATAAATAAAAAATAAATAAAAAAAAGAAAACCAGCCCTAAACAATGAATATATAAATACTTAAAATGAGTGTTCTACTATGACTTTTAACTTGAATTTCCAGATCATTTACTTCAACAAGAATTTCAGTTAAGTTCAATTTAATTCAACAGAGTGAATGGTACATATTCAGTATTAAGATCTGTACCATGTGAGAGCAAAACAAAAATGGATAAGACATGGTTTTGCCTCCAGAACCAGAGAGCCTGAGGAAACAAACTCATTCATTCAACAAGGCTTATTTAATGTCGTATTAAGCACCAGTGATTATATATGATGTTCAGGCTACAATAGTAAACCAGAGACACAAGATAGTATTTTAAAATAAGCATATATTATTACAAATTAATTATTTCATGCATTTTTTTCAGTTGAAGCGTGTTTTGGCTTTTAAGACAGGTTTTTTCTTTTACCCTCAGAAGGTGAATTGAAAGTTAGTGAATGAAGAGTAAGTATAACATACACAGACATTGGAATTAAAAAAAGACTGATTAAACCAGGAGGTGGTGACTCATATCTCTAATCCCAGCACTCAGGAGGCAGAGGTAGGCAGATCTCTGAGTTAAAGGCCAGCCCAGTATACAGAGTGAGTTCCAGGACAGCCAGGTCTACGTAAAGAAACCCTGTCTCGAAAAAAAGAAAAAGAAAAATGTTGGTTATCTGATGAGGTATAATAAATTAACCCCAAATTCAGTGACTTAAAAACACTAAGTGGCCAAGTGTGGCGATGCATGTCTTTAATCTCAGCACCTAGCAGAGGCAGGTGGATCTCCATGAGCTTGGGGTTGGCCTAAATAGAAGATAGTTGGGGCTGCATAGTGAGACCTTGTCTCAAAACAAAAACAAACAAACAAACAAAAAAAGGAAGTGAGGGCGAGAGGGAGGGAGGGAGGGACGGAAGGAAAGGAAGAAGGAAGGAAGGAAGGAAGGAAGGAAGGAAGGAAGGAAGGAAGGAGAAAGAAAGAGAGGGGAGGGAGGGAAATATGAAAGCAATGGCCCGGCTGGGGAGATGGTCCCTAAGTTAAAGCACTTGCCAAGTAGTAAGAGGAGAAAGAGTTTGCATCACTGGAACCCGCACAAATGACAAGAGGGTATGGCAGCCCACCTGTAATTCCACCCCTGAAAGGCATGTACACTATATTCCCAGAGCAAGCTGGCTAGGGAAACTAACTATGTAGGAAAACTTTGAGCTTGCTTTAAAACCTCTGCCTCCAAGCATAAGGTGGAAGAACTATCAGAGCACCATTCCTAACATCAAACTCAGAACAGCCACAGCCACTCACAAACAACACACACACACACACACACACACACACACACACACACACACACACACAGGTGGGGGGCAGTATTTATTATTCTTCCTCGGTTTGTATGTGAATGAGTTTGGAGACTGCTTGAATGGCAGTCCGTGGCTTTCATGACACTGTAGTCAAACATCAGCCAGCTGTTGAGCTGCCCGTGAAGAGAATGGCAATATATGAGCTAGGAAAAGAAGGAGGCAGATCAGGAGAGAAGAGCTGAGCAGACCAGCCTGGCACTGAAACAAACATGGAGCATCCAGAATGATTCCAACACGAGAAAGAACAGAGTATCATCTCACAAACAAAGAAGCAACTCCTGTCCCTTGTAGTGTGTTTCTTCAATGCACTCATTCAAAGTGGGTCACATAGTCTCTCATCAGTCCCAAGTGCAAGGTGTTGACACTGACTTTCTTGAACTGTGATATGCCTCGAATCATACAGTCAGCAGGCAAGGAAGTGGCAGAATCAGGATTTGATTTCACATCTATATGACTCCAAGGGTCATCTTATTTCTCCTCTGTCACACCAAGCTACATACACTTGCTCTTCGTTGCCATCCTATTTCTGCCCATAAGCCACTCCCCTATGTCCGTTTGGACACCAGGAGGAGTTTGCATGGCGCATCGTGTTTCCAATTTGTACAGTGCAGGGGCGAAACCAAAGCTGAGAATTCTTTACACTGAAGCCTAACTCCATCTCGGAAATGGGTTGGTTACTAAATCTACCTCCTTGATAGATGAATAAAATAGATTAAGCTCATGCCCACATCCTTCAAAGAGCACCACCTACAACAGGCTGCTTCTGCCTGGTCCCCTTTCCCTGGGAAATAGTCACCCAGGTCCTTTTACGTGTCCTCTAACTGCTCGGAGCCTCCAGTCTAAAGTCACGACTTTGGTCGTCCTCTCCGACAATTACTCTTTTGAGCAATAAGCTCTGATTGTTCCCTCAGCAAACACAATGTCCTTGAGCACTGCTTGCAAAAAGAAGCCAATATTTCCTCGGGCTTCTGAGAATAGAGAATGTTCCTTAAAAGCCTTAAAGTAAATATTTGTGATATTTTCACGAACCAGCTTAATAGTTTGGCCCATTGAAGACTCGGTGGAGCACATGGTCCTTTCACTCTCTGGTTAACTAAGGGCTGACAAACATTCCTCTTTGCCTGTGGAATGTCCAAAAGCCATTCACTGTCTTCTTCATTTCAGTTGCCAAGATTGTGGGAACAAAGGCTTCCCAGCTCTAGCCCTTGCTGGCCTTGTGACTTTGCATTAACGCTCTGGGTTACTTTGTTTACAAGCAAGATAAAGGGGCTAAGAAGCATCTCCTCCCTACCCAGTTGGATAGATTAACTGAAGCCTCCAGCAAGGCACAAAACAGCGCTCCAAACATCCATGAGTATGCTTTAAAATAAACTTGGCATTTTACTTAGGTGTGAATAAATGACCCAGAACTGATTTCTTTCACCAAAAGCAGTATTTTCAGGATTATTTCTAAATAAACCACAAAACCACCATTGTTATAGATTTTGCTTATAAATGAAGACAAGGCAATCACTGCAATTATGGAAAAACTTCAGAAGGAGATAAACAAGCCAGTTATCTTGACGAATGGCCTCCGACTCTGTCCGAAACATGTAGCAGAAGTCTCTGACATTTACCATGCTAAAAGGCTTACAGAAAAAGCAAAGGATCCCCGGAGGAATGCAAGCGGCCGCCACCACATACGGAGCAGGAATGTCGTCTGCTCTTCTCTCTCAACTTTAACCATAATTTGTTCCTTTAAGGTCATCAAAAACTGACAAAAGCCCACCAGCACTCGAATGGGCTCACAAGCTTCTCTCTGGTAATCCCCGTAGCTGTCCATTATGGTTGTGTTTGCTTGTTGCTGTCTTATCTTGTCCGTGCAGGGCCATGTGCATACTAGTAAATATTCCACCGCTGAGCTTTCTTCTCTGTCCTCGGTTTTTTAAGAGTTTCACTGTGTAGCCCAGGATGCTTTGAGTTCATTCTGTAGCCCAGACTCACCTGAAACTTCAATTCTCCTACTCTACCTCCCTGGGGCAGCCGTTTCAGATTTTTAGCAACACACTTAAAGCTCCTACTAGTCAAACGTCAACAGCGGACAACAGTGCAACATTTTGTGTATTTTATACACATCCCTCTCTTCCATACCTTTTCAAAACCTTGCTGACTCAACACCCACCACAAAGATTAATGTATGTTGTATCTAAAATGAATCACA